TCCTTAGAAGGGAAATCAAGCAAGCCGAGCACGAAGTCTTTATTTGCCAGAAGAAATATGTCAAGGAGATTTTGAAAAAGTTCAAGCTTGAAGAATGCAGGGAAACAAGCACTCCTATGAATCAAAAGGAGAAGCTATGTAAGGAAGGTGAAGCTGATAAAGTTGATGAAAGGCACTTTAGAAGTTTGATTGGTTGCTTGATGCATCTTACAGCAACACGTCCTGACATTTTAAACGTTGTAAGTATTTTATCCAGATTTAAAATTGCATTTGAGTGCAGCCAAAAGTAATTCGATATGTCAAGGGTACAAGTGGTTTTGGTATTAAATTTACAATGTGTTCAAGTTGATCGGTTTCTCTGATAGTGACTGGGGAGGTTCCATTGATGATATGAAGAGTACTTCTGGCTATTGTTTTACTCTTGGATCAAGTATTTTCTCATGGAATTCGAAGCAGCAAGAAACAGTAGCTCAATCTACTGCTGAAGCAGAATTTGTTGCTGCAAAAACTGTTGTAAATCAAGCATTATGACTGAGAAAGATTTTAATTGATCTTAATATGGAGCAAAATGAAAGTACTAAGATTTTTGTTGACAATCAAGCTGCTATTGGCATTTCTCATAATCCCGTGTTTCATGAAAAAACTAAGCATTTTAGTATCAAATTATTTTTTCTAAGAGAAGTTCAGAAAGAAAAATATGTGTCTCTGACTTATTGCAAATCTGAAGATCAATTGACAGATTTGTTCACAAAGCCACTTCCAATTAGTAGGTTTGAATTTCTAAGGCAGAAAATTGGTGTTCGCAGCTCCTAAGGCAAGGAGGAGTGTTGGAATAATTGCTTAGGACTACCTAGGATTAAGGAATTAATTTTATTTTCTTTAAATCTTGTTTTAAAGTTTTGATTTCTTTTAGCTATTTTTATGGACGTTGATTAGGGAGCATCAATCATCTATTTTTATGGACGTTGATTAGGGAGCATTAATCATTTTCCTTTTACCTTTTTCTCTGTTTTGTATTGGGCGGCAATTTAAAAAAGGTGTTGTTGTTTTTTTTTTTAATGTAGAACATTCGAGCTTCTTCAAAATTCTTCCTCCTCTTTCTCTTGTTCAAGAAACCTTCAGTATCAAACCACTTTTCTCAGCTACCATGTCAACCAGCTCCATAAGCTTCTTTTACCCATACTGGTGCAATTTTCGCATTGCTTGATTTACTAGTCAGTCTAACCCAACAAAAGAAAAAAAATTATATGCATCCAAGCAACTAAATTTTACAAAACTATCTTTCAATTGCTCCAATTCTCCAGCTAGAGGTGTAAGCGAAGTATGTCATTTGGGCCACCAAACATAGCTCAAGTTCATAATGGCAAATAGACATCTACCAATTTTATTGTGTTTCAGCATCATGTTTACTGATTGAATCACAAACTTCCTCTCATGCACTACTCTGAGTTCCTAAAAAGGCATATGAGGATTGCTTTTAATGTAGATGTTTTAGAAAGACAATAAGAGAAGAATCTGAGAAACAGCCAACGTTGGAGAGGAGAAATGAACTATGGCTGCTGTCCAGCAAAGAAAAAGTGCAGTGAATACCAATCAGCAGCAATATCGCCAATATAACAACGTTGAGGATGATCCACCACCTCTTCCCTATCAAGCTAAAGGCACGCCACTTGAATAGGATAAATGATACAGCTCTCTCAAGGAGAGAAATTCCAAGAATCAATCTCTAATATCAGTAAAATCCAACCATCAGGTTCTAAGAAACATACTTATATTGGACACAGATTAAACACTAATTCTAACTCAAAACAATGTCAAAAGGAGCCCACACACACACACACACA